AAACTACACTACAGTTTAAATAGCTTCATGTATCTTCGTTCTAGTCAGTTTGAATATCGACTAAGACTTTCTTCCTTCCTATCGTCCTTTCCTCAGTTCCGTCTTTTCTCCGATTACTCTCCCTTCATCGGTCTCCGTCCTTTTCCGAACTTGGACATGGGTTGAAGATCCCATCGGCTCCGTTCGGCCCCGACGGCGATCCGGCCTCTTCTTGAACCTGCACAGTCACGTTTAGGACTTTGCATTATCCACGCGAAGTCCTATTTTGTGTAGTGTTCATTCGCCGCTTACATTCCCCCTGCCTTGACAGGACTCCTCAACTCCGATCGGTCCCGACGGTGATCCGGCTGCTCCTCGGATCCCCTCGGTCACATTCAGGACTTTGCATTGTTCACGCAAACCCTACTTTGTGTAGCATTCACAATCCGCTCACATTTCTGTGTACCGACAACACTCATCGGCACCGTTCGGTCCCGACCAGGATTGCGATCGTCTTTGTCCTTTCTGACAGGACTCACCGGCACCGATCGGTCCCGACCAGGGTTACGGTTCAATCTCGGTCCTTACCAATAGGACTCGTCGGCACCATCCGGTCCTGACTAGGATTGTGACTCAGTCTTCGTTCTTAACCTCTCTGTCTTCTTCCTCGGAAATCGGGCCTTGGGCGTAGAGAAAGGCGCAGCGCACGAGCTGAAGCCAAGCCCGCTCTGACCCCCCTCGGGCACCGAGCCGGAGCTCCGATCGGATGGGACTACATTTCATGAAGTTTCACTTTGTGAAAAGTCCTATTCCACCCTATTCGTATTACACTTTGTGCGATAGGATTTCGGACCTCCTGCGGACCACCGATGTCCTTGCATATTCCCGCGCTCGGATATCTCGGACCTCCATCGGTTCCCGAGTCTGTCCCGGCACTTGACACTTCTACAGCTTGCTCTTCATTTGTGTGACTCAGGCTGCTCAGCATTCTGTGCCTTAAAAGCTGTGAATCTTTGGTTTAAGACATTACAATTTGGTCTGGCGGCCACTTAGACATTGTGCCATATCTAGGGGCATTGGGCTCTGCGCTGGCACCATTACCGTGCCATATCTGGGGTATCGGGCTCTGCATCGGCACCATTGAGAGTTGTGTACGCGGCCGTGTTTGTGGTGGGGTATCTGCTTTTTGTTCACTAACACCTTAGTAGACAAGGACAAGGATGTACCGGAAGGGCAATCTCTAAGCCGTTTGTTGAGCGTTGCTGGATGGCGAGCTCCTCCAGCACGATGTGTGTCCGTTCCTCCAGCACGATGTGTGTCCGTTCCTCTCCAGGACCTCTGGTCTACCCTAGCCCTATAAAGCCATTGATCACCGTTGACCGCCTGCATATGCCATCGACCTCATCGAGTTACGCTCTCCGGCTCGGTTTGTGCTGGGCTGTGTCCTCGTAATGCTCACCGCATGTGGGGCATACATTCCGGGTCGTGTAACTCTGGACCAGTGTTCCTTCATTCAGTGGAAGTGCAACGGTGAATCCCTGATGGCGACACATTTCTCCGAAGTACTGGACATTGTAAACCCAATGTAGAGTAATAGGAAGCTCAGAAGAAACTTTACAGTTCATCGAACGGTCCAATGTAACCAAGTGGCCCCCTGGAGTCCACTCCTGCAATATGGTCAGCACCAACTCCACATGGCGTGGAAAGGCTCACCCAGAGAATTGGTGTGGCATCTAGATATTTTCGAGTCCAGAGGAGCCCTGGTGGCAGCAAGGCACTGATTTCCCCGCCCCCAGTAGTGCACGTGATCGTGTGATGGTGGAACCAAAGTCCTTGAATGCATGGAACCACTGCAATCAGTGTGTCTAGAATAATAATTCTGACACAATAGAAACACCCAGTGGATGCCTAAATATTTTCAGGTCCAGAGGAACCTTGGTAGCAGCAAGGCACTGATGTTTCGCCCCAGTAGTGCACGTGAACATGTGACGCTGGAACCAAAGTCCTTAAATGCATGAAACCATTGCAATTGGTGGGTCTAGAATAATAATTCAGACACAGTAGTGACATCCAATGGATGCGTAAATATTTTCAGGTCCAGAGGAGCCTTGGTGGCAGCAAGGCACTGATTTTTCGCCCCAGTAGCGCACATGAGCATGTGATGCTGGAACCAAAAATCCTTAAACACAGCCACAAAATATCCTAGCACAGCCCCTCAATTTGTTACAAACTTAAAATGGGACATGATTCACCGAGACCTTGAAAACCTCATTTCGGGTTGATTAATAAAACGATTACATAAGTACTCATAATCACTGCCACCTGTCAACCGCCGTCGCAGCGCATGGACCATCAACGGCGGACTGATGGAAGTCACGCAGATTGATGACGGGGATGAGGGCAGCCCAACGATGGTGCCATCTAGGATGGCCAAAACAAGTAAGCACTCTAAGGTGATACATTGCCAGCCCCTCTCACAAGAGGCATTGATTAATTGTGCTCAATCTCTCATTAGAACCGTGCAATGTATTCAAACCCTGGATACGCCTGCCTGCTGTGCAGGTAGACTGAGTGTGATGCAGCGTGTCATGATTCAGCTTTTCAGATCCCGAAGCCGAATCAAACCACGATCACGGGAGCCCGTTAACCCGCGATCACATCCCTATATGTTTCATTTTAACTCCTTTCTGGTTTCAACTAAACCCCTTTATGTTACACATAGGGTATATTACGATCGGACTCCTAGATACAGTAGTATATAAACCCCAGGTAGAATCCCCTGTACTTTAGATTCTACCTTGTCTATTCACCGGCCTTGCTTTGGCCTGTTCTTGACCTGTGTTTAGCCTAAGCTTTCTCTGCTTTCGCTATCTCGTTGACTTGGGTTTCCCTCTCCGCTTCGTTCTGCTGGCAAACCCTTGTCTCCTATTTCAACTCTTGTCTCTGACCTTTTCCCGAATTCTGTCAATGGAGCCTAGTGGTGGGTTGTAGGGTTGTGAAGGACTAGCCTATGGGATAACACTGGTATCAAGACTCTCAGTGGCATGGACACGAAGTCTTGATCATGTTCAGGGTTAGAGGGAGACAACCACCACCACCACAACTATTCCTACGTCTCTCGGCATTAGAGCGTAGAGTCTGAAGGAGCCTCTGTCGAATATCCCTGGATCCTCCCTCCCGTTCGCTGGTCTATGATCAACCCATGTGTGTCATCTCATAATCCCGCCAATAATCCCATCGGGATATGCCCCACATCAGTTCAATTATGCCAGGCCCGTCAGGACTACTTCAACCTCTGGTTGAACTACTCCTGGGAGCGATCCTCAGTTGTTGGCTGTTTGTATGTTCACCATTAACGGTCAGTTCCTCTCAACACCTGGGCTAGGACTTGCGGTTCTGTTGTGCTTGGTTGCAGACAGGTTGACCCAAGGACCGTCGTTGACACGGCACTGCTTGCCCCAGGTTCGACTTTGCCTTCAGAGTTGATACCTGTGTCACCATTGCCATCGCCAGAACAGGACCAAGATTTGCCGTGAATGAGATACAAATATTATTTACACGAATATATTGATCTGCGAACTTGACGGAACTTAGACGGAACGAAAATATGGTGTGGTTGTTTAAATTTAATATTTGCTGCACAAGCTGGTCTCTGTTCGAAAAAAGAAAAAAAGGATCCAAGTGGTTACACGTCCTCTATTTATATCGTGCATTATCGAGGAAGCACCCTGTTTGGGGCCAGCGTCATGCTTTACATTGCTTTATTTATTTTTCTTACCTACAGTCGTAAACCAGGAAGCGAAACGGTTAGACGGTGCGGCAGATTGTGAGCTCAAATGTAGGTTAATCAATTTCGATGTTGTCATAAATCTGGCCTATGGAATCCGGGCTACATGCCAGCACAAGAGACCATGAGACTCAGTGTTGTTTTGGGGGAGAACGAGGAACATCTTTCTGAGAGGCCAAATTTGGCCAAATAATGTGACAGCAAAACACTACGAAACAACTCCAATTGCCTGAATCTTTGGGATTTGAAGGCTTGAGACCGTTTCCGTCATAAGCCTAGGACCTGAAAACACCCTGTTGATGCCCTGCATCCAGTAAAATACTGCCAAATAGGTGGTGCACACAGAATCGCGCTGTGTGGCCGCACTGTGACCGTTTCTCTCAATTCCTTTGACCTACAGGGGTTTCTGCATGATGTTACATTTTTTCACATGGACTTCAGTCCGTCTCTGATCTCCGGCCTCCGAATGTTCGGAGGTCGGAGATGGAAGATCATTGAGTTTTTATGCAATGAAGGTTTACTGAGTGTTTCCCGTTTGTCCGTTTTTCCGCTCCTTCTCAACTTCTCATTTATTGTTTTGCTTACTCAGCTAACTTCTTCATCCAAATTTGGACTCTCGTTTATTGTTATGTTTTGATCTACCATATTTGGGTTAACAATAATGGACTTAGTATAAATACACTTTAATATCCTCATGTACTTCAGTTTGATTATAAATGTTGCTTTGCTTCTGAGTCTTCCTCCGGTGTCCCTTTGGACCCCGTCTACATCTGTCTTGTCCATCAGCCTAGGGTAGTATGCACACCCTTACCTTCCTGTGGTGTTTGCGCTCACCTTTGATATCTCCGACCTCCGGTCTCCGGTCTCCGACCTCCGATCTACCAACCAGAGACCTTCGACAATAGCCCCCTTCATCAGCACGGGATATAACACATGGGGAGAATGGTCTCCCAAAATTGGTGCCTCTCCGAGCTCTCTAAGGTAGCAAAAAATCTAGTGTTTCACTATCACATTGTGTTTTGTTTCCTAGTTTACGACTGTAACCAACACATTTGACTCGGAGTTCGGGCGAGATGAGATCCATAGTTGCTCCCTCCTCAGGGCCCCTTTTCTGCGTCTCAGTTCTCAATTTGAAGGCATTATCTTTGGCTGCCCAATATTCTCACTGTGTTGACCTCGAAACACAACTGGCATGCCCAGAACAGACTTACCCACGATCCGAAGTGTGCATTATGGCCCTGTGGTGTAATGGTTAGCGTCCTCTATTCTTGACATGCTTGACAATTCTTGTGAGGAAGTTCTCTGTTCAATTCAGGGTGGGGCCATGTTTCTGTTTGATCTTTTGTTTTTCTTTCTTATTGTACATACCCCCAAACAGTGAGATTCAACTTCAGATGAGATGAGATCCGTAGTCACTCCGTCATCTCCACTTGGATTAAATTTGACCTCGGAAATTGGATACTAACCGGCTCGACTCAGATGAGCGCACATGGAACGGGGTAGCGAGAACGCGACTCCCTGCTGACATGGTCAACGAGGGAGCCTTGAGTGTATTTGTGCCGCGGACCGCTAACTAATACACGTGTATGTAGGTAAGAATCAAACCTTAAAGTGCAATAGGGTGTGGACAGTGGGTAGCAAAAAAGAGAGGACTAGCGAGCGCAAATATGTAAGACTGAGAGAAGAGATAAGAGAAAGAGAGATATGGACCTAGCAGGCAGCAAGTGGTAAGACTGAGAGAAGAGCTGAGACTCTCCTATGCAGGCCCCTTGCTGCCCGCTAGATCAATTGTTCTGTTGGATGTCACACTAACCATTCACAGTGGTTAAATGGTTAGTGTGACATCCAACAAAATGTCAACCCCGTGATGTCACGGAGTGCACCTGGGTTCGATCCCCGGGCCAGCGGACGAATTACGAAGTACAATTCTAATTTGACTCCCGCCGGTGATGGAACAGGTGCACACATTACGGAATCCACAACCATACTACTTGGCCAGCAGGCTTCAGTCAACGAGTGTAGCAGCGCGAATGAAAACCCGGTGACCCGGGGTTGACATTTTGTTGGATGTTGCACTAACCATTTAACCACTGTGGTTAAATGGTTAGTGCGACATCCAACACGTTCCACTTGCACGGGGTGTTACGCTGTGTGCATTGTGAAGCATGCAGCAGGAGGATACAGTGAGCTCCCCATTGATCGCTCGGTGTATAAGACATCGGCATGGGGAGGACGCGATGTTCTCGCAGGTGGACCAACTTTGTCGCCTGTTAGACTTGAGTAAATTCCACTTTACACCCGATTAAATTTGACCTCGGAAATTGGAACATCAGACTTCCCTCACGGTCCGACAGACCAATCGATGTAACGGTTATGTGTTCTTGATATGTAAAACAAATGGCATAAGAAACTCTCTCATATTTGTGGTGAATGTTTTTTTTGACTTATTTGTATATAACCAAAAACGGTGATTCGAATTCAAACGAGATGAGATCCTTAGACCAGGAAGGTCCCTCCTCAAGGCCCCTTTTTTGCGTCTCATTTCTCGATTTGAAGGCATTATCTTTGACTTCCCAATATTTCTAGGTCAATTTGACTTCGGAAATTGGAACAGCGCTGGCACACCCAGAATAAGCTTGCCCCACAATCTCATTGACTTGTCATGGCCCCGTGGTATAATGGTTACATGTCCTTTATTCATTAAGTAAAGTCTATGTAGAATATTGATAGGAAGTTCCCTTTTTGAATCAAGACGGAGCCATATTTCTGGTCTTTGCTTACTTTTTATTTAGACCAAAAACAGTGAGATTCAGAAATTTATAGACTGCCTCCTCATTTCTCGATTTGATGACATCATCTTCGGCTGCCCCATACTTTTGATCTCGGAGCAGAAATGCCAGAATAGAGGCCCGACACAGAGCTACCTCATAGTCCGACAAATGCATCAAGGCCCTGTGGTGTAATGGTTACATGACCTCTCCTTATTAATGTTTGGGTTCCGAATTAGGAGGAAGTTCCCTGTTCGAATCAGGGCGGGGCCGTCTCTTTCTTGGTTTGTCTTTTTCTTATAGTATATAACCAAAAACCGGGAGATTCGAATTGAGAAGATAATTCGTAATAGACCAAGGAAGTCCTGCTCGGGGCCCCTGAAGGCAGCCTTGTCCGAAGTTGTCGTCTCTCACTATTTTCATGACATTAGAAGTGCTGATCAGAATACAGGCCAGACTTACCGGGACCCCTGAACTAGGTCCCGAACACATCAGCAAACCCTGATTTTGACTCTAGCACCATAGTGGCATAGTCTGGCATAGTCGGCCATACTACTGCATAGTTGAACATAGCGCTCCATAGTTGAATTGTAGTGCTATGTAGATAAAGACCTTCGCTAGAGGCACTATGGACACTATAAACTGCTATAGGTTGCTATGTAGTGGTACATAGCGAACCCAGGTTTTGCTGATGCATCCCAGATCCCCCAATTTTTGTCCGGACACATTCTGGCTATTTTTCCCCATCTCCGCCTTACAATGAAAAACATGTTTTATTGGTCTGACTAGGGAGACTACATTTTGGCCGACTTTCGGCGGTTTTTCTTCGGACAGGGCCTAGCCTTTGCTGAGCAATCATCCCCAAAAAGGTAATTTCTGGCTCCCACGCACTTAAAAACGGTTAACTTTTCTTCCCCACGCGTTTCGTGCTGTTCTAACCATATTGGACGCATCTGCAGCCCATTTGCAGCGAAAATAAGCCCACTTTCTACCCACTCCTGGCCGAAAAAAAAAAAACTTCACCTGCTCGAATTTCTTCCGGGCAGTACCTGGCATTTTGACTCTCCAGCATCGATTTTTCTCTTTCAGGACCTAGGTTTGAGGTCCAAATCTCAAATTTTTTGTCCGACACTGTACCTGGCCTTCAAAGGGAAAATCAGAGGTCCTGACTTACCCTACGGTCCGACAGAGGCATCGTGGTCCTGTGGTGTAATGGTTACACATCCTCTGTCTGTGCATGTGTGCAGGTACAGTTTATGAGGCAGTTCCCTGTTCGAATCAGGGTGGGGCCATAGTTCCGAACCAAAAACAGTAAAATTCAGATAGATACAAGATTTTTAATTTGAACTCGAAACAGAAATGCTCGGCCAAACGCATAACAGACTTCACCCACGATGCAACGGATTTATCACGGCCCCGTGTAACGGTTACACTTCCTCTCCTTATTAGCTACTCATGTACAATTCTGAGGAAATTCCCTGTTCGAATCAAGGTACGGCCATGTTTCCGAACCATCATCGTTTTTTCCGTCTTACTGTACCCTTCTGTAGAGGTGAAACCAAATTTGAACCGTGACTGAAACGAACGGGTTGAAACGAGAAACGGGCCGACCGTTATGCGTGACATCCCGTAAATCTTGAAACGGCCGGCTCGGGAGCAGTACAATTTTTTCTACACCAAATGCCTCCAAGACCGTCTACAGGCCCTCCCCAAGCACTCATTACATGCATAGATTATCTACAGAATCTCATATCTCATTTACCAACTACACTTCCACTCGACCCTCCCGATTCTTCGTATCAGTTTTATCTTGACGAGGATCGCGTTGCTCTTTCCAGTTGCGGGACGTGCCCTGGAGCTCTCCTTTGAAACCTGGAAAAGGGACCATGTTGTAAGATTCAAGGAGCACGGCTCACGACTCAAGGCACCTGGGCCTTTCTTGAAAATTGGCATAACTGCTGCTGATGGCAACACTGGAGAAAGGCTAATCACGTCCCGTGTTGCTTGCACGGAGAGCGATGGCTTAGTGTCTTCCGATGACAGTGAGGATATTTGGGCTTACACCGACAAAGGGGTTCATTGAGATCAAGTCAACACAGAGGCGGACATCAATTGACCAAATTTCCAACACAGAAAAATGTAGTTTGGCAGCGAGAAATATGTAGGCAGCTTGGAGTCTCTTTTTCACCCACTCTCCGGGCAGAAAACAATTTTTTGAAGTGTTTTTAGTGTCACGGTTTTTCAGTGAAACGGCACCCCCGTTATGCGTTACCTCCCCGGATAACTGAAACGAAACGCCCCTCCGTGACGCGTTACGTTTCACCTCTACAGATGGGTACAGTATTGTGCATAACCAGAGATTCGAGTTCAAATGAGATGAGATCCGTAGTCTACACTGAGCAACTTGAGGTTCCCTGTCGGAAAAACGTAATCAGTCTTATAAGAGGCTCACGTTATAAGCCGGTCATCAGAGTCTCATAATAGTAATCAGAGTCTCGTAATAGTCTCGTAATAGTAATCTTGACCAAATAAGCTCTGATAATGGAGCACGCCCTCATAACTATGCACAAGAGATAACTGTAATATACTTTTCTGTGCTTCCATGAGGTCCATAGAATGTAATTATACTGTTCTGCTGCTCAGAGGCCGAAGAGGACGAGCAGGGGACCGATGCAGAGGCGGAGTGCAAACCGGACGCGGATGCGGATGCGGACGTAGAGTCGCTGTCAAGCGAGGCAGAGACACTGGACTAGGAGGCCGACGACGAGGTCTGCATGTGCTCACAGAAGATGAATGGGACCCATACCGAGGATGCGCAGAACTGTTTGTGCGTGCAATCAGAGGCGGGCCGTGATGACGATGCCATGAACAGTAACTGGAAGAAGAAGATGAGCAAAAACATTAAGAAAGATGATGCCCACATCCAGGAAACATCCCCGTATGCAGCCCATCGATCCCATCTTGGATCCAGCAATGGGGCAAGCCTGCGCTGTGCCCGCTAACTTGGTGAATCCTGGAGGCGCGCTCGCGGAGCCGTGCCCGTACTCCACAGGCGCCGGTGCGTAATCGTGTCGACTGTGGCCACGCAGCGTGAACTCGGGCGCGAACTTGACGGGGAACTTGACGGGCGGGACGGTGAGGAACTTGGACGCGCTATACGCGTGATCCGATCCCAGAGTAGCAGCCTCGAATGCGACGCCGGATAGCGTGTTGTTGAGCAATGTTAGAGAAGGACAGCTGGTGCCCTTCACCATTCCAAGTCAGCTCGTGTTCTGGTCCACTGCTCGTAGCGGGGTATGGCTGGGAGCTTGCGAACGCCTCGGCGGGCAACGTAGAACACCTCCGCAGCCCACGCTGCACAGGTCTGGTCGCAGCAGGGGAGTGGCGGGAAAAGTGCTCGTGCATTCCTTCTTGTCGTTGCGCACTAGGAACGACCCCTTGCCGATGGCGAGGGTCGATTCGCTCTGACAGTGAATCACCGGTCTGCTGGTCACAGCGGGCACAGGTGTAGGGGTAGTCGAGATCGTCGCCTGGGAGACCGCGGGCATTTTGCTAACCCAGAGACGTCAATCTGAGACGTCACCGAGGGCACGCTCACAGTGACCTATCTCTCTCGCCGGCAAGCCAGAGAGTTAAAGAGATGGGAAATGAGGAGCGGAGGAGGGGTAGGTTCGGATGGGGATAACGAGGCTGTATGGAGGCGCACATCCTGCTGGTTAAGGCAGTTCGGACGTCTCAAGTCGAGGACGACTGCACTGCATGGAGGCTGTATGGAGCGCACATCGCGAAGGTCAGGGCAGTTCACTCTATGAGTTGCAACTGCATAACTCACCAGGGAGACCTACGCACGAGGCCCTTCGGTGCACCGTGTGCGCCAATAGCCATGTGCAGATGCGGAGAGAACCACGAGAGGACTCGCCGCCATTGTAACTGTAGCTTGAACGACGGAGCAGTAGCATGTCGAATATGTGCCGAACATATGAGTCGTCTGGCTCTAGTCGTTGGCCGGGTCTTGGGCGCCGAGCTGTTGCTGCTGCCATTGACATGGCTGCGAAAACACTGAGCACTTCCCCTTCGCAGGCGACGGCCGAAGGTTGCGGTGAATGCATTGACAGAGAGTGTATCCTGTTATTTGAGCTATGTAATCAGGGGTTGTTGCGGAGGCTGGTCTTCGAGAGTTGGTTGAGGGAGAGTCGGTTGATCTTCCCAAATAGGAAAAAACACCAGATTTGGAATATTCGGATCCACACAATTTTACATAGGGCTAGGGCTAAAATCATACACGCCGACGAAGGTTATAGCCATGGCGAGTGTCCCGGCAGGCCGATGCACGATCCACATCTTTAGTGTTATTCGTGTCATGTTTACCGCTAGACATCGCCCCCTGATTTACCGCACTCTGGCTCGGCATTACGGTACCGTGCTCGTCCCTGCCGTCAAATACCCTGAGATCCGAAATGAGTACAGAAAGATCAGGTAGTAAAATTGAATACCACACGGTGTTTTCCTCCGTCCGAATCACAATCCCCCAACGCACCATCGCGAAATTGTAGTCGTCGGGGCCACAATTCTCCTTTGATAGTTGGATGCATGGATGAAGGGTAGGCTGATCGACCTTGACGATATCCTTGTCCGTGTGGATAGGGTGATGAAATTAGTGCAATAGAAACCGACAGCCCCAAATCTTCCGAATCGGTTGAGCTCAGACTCCTCGGTTAGTTCTGAGAGGTCAGCTTCAATCCCGAGGTAAATGCTCTTGGCAGCAGTGACGAGAATATCGGTATCCTAGGTGGACGTCAGTGAAAAGAAAAAAATCCAAAGGAAATGAATTACAACAGCATGGCGAAATAGTGCTTTGACATCATCCACACTGTCGCCGCTATGGCAAGCGTATGGTGCATAACCATCACCTTTTTACCACCCATGGGCATGCGGGAGCCCGTTGCAGTCATGTTTCCATATGCCCAAGCTTGCATATCTGCACGTCGCCAAATAGTCCGAATGCGGACTTGTTGGTGATTTTCTTGCATGATTTTGAGCGTGGTGGGGGAAAGCACTTTGAAGCGGACACCAGCGACCTGGCAGTTCATGAGAAGAAGAACTGACGAAGTACTGAGTCACTTACCAGGTGCTCCTTGGAGTCTTTTCGTCGATGAATGAACCTAACAATGCCCCTTCCGCAATCGATCCATACGGGGTGTTCTGGTGGGCGCGCCTCTACAAGCCGAAGGCCAAGTTCCATGGGATGGATATAGGTGCGTTTGTAGATCCTACTTTTCTGGTTTTTCTGAAGTGACGTCAGCAAAGGGACAGGAAATTAGGAAACGAACACGGACCACCTGTTTTGGCTTGATTCGGTTGCCTTCAGGAGCTGCAGTTATCGCGCAGCCTATGTACTTGGCTGCTTTCGGATTGTCTTTGACGTAAATTATGCGGACACAGCGGTCCTCTTCAGCTTTATGAGCACAGTGCGTGCAGTTGTTGGCAAAGCCGGGTACAACTGGGATTTGCGTGAGGTCTTCTACCAAGTTATTTTGTGTGGGAGACAAACCTTGATCGACTTGAAGCTTTTTCTTCCGTCTCTTCGAATTTTTCTTCTGTGTTTTAGACTTCGGGAAAGTGGTCGTGGGGCGCTTGCCCAGAACCTGAAATGCTCTGTCAGTATGTGAACAGCTGAGGAGGAATTCTCAGTGGATTTCATTACCGGAGGGCTGGGGTCAGTGGGTACATCTTCATCGGTTTCGTTCCCGGCGTCTGTTTCGTTGCCAGCGTCCGCTTCATTGTCAGAATCAGCCGGGGAAGACTGGGGGTTGAGTGGATGGAAAACTTCATAATTGACCATCTTGATCAGCTTGCGATGGAAAGCGGTTTCCGTAATCACAGTCCGAAGGCGAATATCCAGAGTCGCCAGCAAAGGTGGACTTAATTCTGGTTTTTGCATTACCGGATGCCGCATAAGATCACGGTAAATCTGTTGCAGATTCCACCCAGCCGTCTAAATAATTATTACCATAGAACGGTGGTTTCAAATCTGACGAACATACCTCAAATCCCAAAGTTTCCAGGCAAGGAATGAGCCAAATGCGGCAGTTGACCCGGAAGGCGGACAAGGAGATGAACATATAAGCAGCCATGGGGTTCGATCTCCACGGATGCATGCGGGGGTTGGAGTTGAAAAAAACGAGGAATTCAGCTGGGTCGAATTGACGCCCAGGTTGTTTTGCAGTGATTTCCTGACAAAAGATGAGGATGGAAGAGAAAGGAAGAACAAGTTGATATTTACCAAGGGTAT